CCCCCCCCCCGTCTCACTCTCTTTAAAAAAAAAAAAATCAACATTGTGTGTGATAAGACTACAAACCTGAATATGTAAACACGCACTTGCTGTGTGCCAGGCTTTGTCCTCAGCACCTTTCCATATGTTAACGTATCTAACTCTATAACACCCAGGTTGCGTGGGAACCCTTGCCATCCTCATTTCACCTGAGCAGCTTGAAACAGCAAAGGTCATTTGGTGAGGAGAGAGCAGGGGTGGCTGAGCCTCAGCGGCAGCCCCACCATTGATTGAGTCTGTAGTCCTGCTGGCATGTCCCCAGGGGTGTATTCGGTGGCCATCTAGGAAGCCCACACTCAGCTGCACAGGGCCCCTCTTATTTCAAGAAAGAGAAACATGTCTAGAGGAGGGAAGGGGCTTCTCCAGAACCATGGAGCTATTCCATGTCTGGCTCTGGGCTATGAGCCAGATGGCTCAGAACGTCATCCAGGGGTGTTATTCTACAAAATACCAAATAAGCCAACAAACTTAGGAAGCAGACTTTGGACCACAGGAAGACCTTGACAAGAAGTCTTAAGCTGAAGTTAGAACTGTTCAGCTTCAGACAAACAGGGTGCTTTGGAGGGGAAATGGCGTTCTTGAGTCAGGAAATGGAGCCTAAGGTGACTCAGCACCAGAAGCAAGCTCCCCACCCTGCCCGACCCACACCCTGACATAAACACACACAAGACCCACGTCTATGGACTGACTCATCCATCCCCTAATAAAATCTCTGGCCACACTTTCAGTCTGTCACCATCAGAGGCAACCACAAACCAAAGAGCTGCCACAGTACTACTTTTCACTCCTCTCCCCCATGACTTTGATTTTTCTTTGTATGACCCAGTGTCCCTCAGATGGTATTGTCACTTTTACTGGAGCAGCCCCGGTAGGCTCCTTTCGCCTTAGTTGACTTTGAAGTTATTAGGTCTGTGTCTCAGTGCCCTGTGAACCAGAGGTGTCCTGAGAAAAGGAGGTGCCAGTTCTTGCCATTGGTACTCCAGTTTCTTGCACAGTGAGGTCCCCAGGCTCTCACTCAATGAATGAATAACCTGGACCCCAGGATGCCTGCTCTAAGGCAGCTGAGTCAAATGCTGAGAATCTGCCCAGGTTCCAGGGCCCCAGGAGGCAGTTGCCAAGTTTTTGCTTGATATTACCAGAGTTGGGGGGCAGGGAGCACCATTTGTGGTGTTAAGAACATCAACCAGGCACAGTAGCGCATGCCTATAATCCCAGTGGTTTGGGAGGCTGATACAGAAGGATCGTGAGTTCAAAGCCAGGCTCAGCAATGTAGCCAGACTCCGTCTCAAAATTAAAAATAAAAAGGGCTGGGGATGTTGCTCAGTGGTTAAGCACCCATGGATTCAATAATCCCAAGTGTAAAAAAAAAAAAAAAAAACGAACAATTCATTGAAGTCATGATAATAGTAAATTCACGTGTGCTAATAATAGATCTTTAAAATATGTGAAGGGAAAATGTCTGCAAGATTAAAGGCAGATCATATCAGCCCTTTCTCAGGAACTGATAGAATTAGCAGATGAAAATGTGGTAAATAATAACAAATCTGAACATTATCAACCACTTGATATATAGCATACGAAATATCCACTGAAAATTCATTCTTTTTTTCTTGTTTTTATTGGTACATTAAAATTACACATAGTTGTAGGATTCATTGGGACATACCTGTTTATCTTTTTTGAACTAATAAGGAAGTAACAAGAGGAAATTAATGGGGGCTGGATCTCAGTGGCAGAGTGCTCACGTAGCACATGAAAGGCCCTCGGTTTGATCCTCAGCCCCACATAAAAATAAATAAATAAAATAAATGTATGGTGTCCATCTACAACTAAATAAATAAATACACATACACACATATATACAGTTGTATATAGTAAATATATACATTTGTATATAATATATACATACATATATATGTGTATATATATATATATATATATATACATATATACATATATAATAAGTTAAATGAAATGAAACATGAACAATAAAAGGTAGTGACAAACCAGAAGCTGGATCCCTGGAATGATGAAAAAACTAATAAAATGGGCTGGGGATGTGGCTCAAGTGGTAGGGCACTCGCCTGGCATGTGCGGGGTGCTGGGTTCGATCCTCAACACCACATAAAAATTTAAAAAAAAATAAAGATATTAAAAAATACTTCAGTGTTTGTAAGTAATTGTAAACTGTAATGTATGGATTTATAAATTTAAATAATTATATATTTTAAAAATTAATAAAATAAAATTAATACAATTCAGAATTAAAAAACAAGCCAGGCATGTTAGTGTCAAGTGCCTGTAATGCCAGCTGCTCGGGAAGTTAACTCAGAAGGATCACTTGAGCCCAGGAGTTTGAGACCACCTGGGTAACATAGCAAGACCCTGTCTGAAGGAAAGAAAGAAAAACAACAGCAAGGAGCATAAAATACTAATATCAAGAATTAATGATGGGATATTACAAACTCTGCCACCATTAAAAGGAAAAAACTGAGAGCTTATGAATTACTGACAATAAATCCAACAAGTTGGATGATATGGAAAAATTCCTAGAAAAATACACTTCACAAAATAGCCACAAGATGTAAAGATAATCTGAATTATCTTATACCTGTTTATGAATTAAAATTAATTATTTAAAAGCTGAAAATAATGAAAATTGGGGCTGATAATCATTTCACTGGTAATTCTGTAAATATTATGGAAAAAATATCACTAAAACAAATTGAAAAAATAGAAGGAGGCAATTTATCATCATTTTTATATAACATCATTATTTTTATATAATGCCCGTATATATTTGTAACATCTGACAAGGATATTACAAAAAAACAAAACTCTAATCAACATCCATTATAAATATGGATGTAAAAGACAGACAATTGAGTCTAGAAACTTTTAAAAAAATAATGTACTCTGAACAAATGGGGTTTATTTCAGGAATATGGTTTGATTAGCATTTGAAAATCAGTATTAGTCATGATATTAACAATGTGAAGGAAAAAAAACCCTATATGAACATGTAAATTGTTTGATAAAACTTAACACACATTCATAATAAAAAATTCTCATATTTAGAACAAAGGGGAACTTCCTCAATTTGATGTATTGCACGTATAATAAGCTACAGCTTTTTGTGAAAACTAAGCACAAAGCTAGCAAAGGTAGTATATAATAAAAATTAGAGCAGATTTAAAAAAAATAAATAAAGAGTAGAAAACAGTGAAGAAAAATCAGTGAAACCAAAATTTGGTTATTTAAAAAGATCTGCAAGTGATGCTTGGTGGCACACACTTGTAATCCCAGTGACTCTGGAGGCTGGGGCAGGAAGATCTCAAATTTGAGGCCAGCTTTAGCAACTTAGTGAGACCCTGTCTCAAAATAAAAAAGTTAAAAGGCTGGGGACATGGCTCAGTGATAGAGCACCCCTGGGTTCAATCCCCAGAACATCTACTACTATACTAGTAATAATAATAAATAAATTAAATTAAATAAGAAGATTCACAAAATGGACAAAACTTTAAGACCTAAATAACCAAAATCATAAATGAAAATGAGAAATATAGCTGAATTTTCAGAAATCAATAGGACTTAAAGAGAATGCTCTGAGTAGGTGTACTTCAACATATTAGATCACATAGAGAAAAATGGATAAATTCTTGGAAACACACCAAGACTGAATTGTGAAGAACTAGAGGTTTTCAACAGAATTACAGCTAGTGAGGAGATTCAATCAGGGAGCCAATGCCTTCCAACAAAGAAAATCTCAGGACCAGGTGGCTTCCCTAGTGAATTCTACCAAACATTTAAATAAGCACCATGAATCCTCTTCAAATTCTTCCAAGAAGTTTGTGGAGAGGAGGAAATCCTTCCCAGTTCATTTTAGAACAAAATTAGAAGCCTCAAACTAATTGATTTCCAAAAATTTTACAAAGCTACGGTTCTCAGAACATTGAAGTACTAACGTAAAGAAGAGACAGACCAATGGAATAGAATAGAGAGCTCAGAAATAAACCTTCCAACATTTGGTCACGTGATTCTCAACAAGGGTGCCAAGACCAACAGATGATGGAAAGGACAGTCTTTTCATGAAATATTGCCTTTTACCTTACACCATAGATGAAAGTCAACTCAAAGTTGATTAAGGACCTAAATGTAAGAGCTAAGATTATAAAACTTTTGGAAGAAAACAAGGGAAAAGCTTCACTACATTAGAGTTGACAATGATTTTTTTAAAGTATAACATCAAAAACACGGACAACAAGTAAAACTTGATAAATTGGACTACATCAAAAAACAAACAAACAAACAAAAAAAACGTCTTTGCCTCAAAGAAAAAGGACACATTTGATGGAGAAAAACAACCTACAGAATGGGAGAAATGAGATAAAAGGTCAATATCCAGAGTTTGTTTTATAAAAAACACCTGTAACGTAGCTATAAAATAAACGAACAGTACAATTCAAAAATAAGCAAAGAGTATGAATAAGAAATTTATCCAAAGATATACAAATATCCAACAAGCACGAAAATAGACGTTTAATACCACGAATTGTTAGGGAAATACAAATTGAAACCACAAAGAGATGGTCTGTCAAAACATGAATAACAGATTTGGGGGAGGATGTGGAGAAATTGCAACTTTTGTGCCCTTTTGGTGAATATATAAAGTGATGCAGACACTATGAAAAACAGGAGGACAGTTTCTTGAATAATTAAAGATAGGACTGCCATGTGATTAGCAATTCCACTTCTGGGTGTAGATCCAAAAGAATTGTTTGATTTGGTTTTTGCAAAGCTAGGAATCAAACCCAGAGCCTCAAACATGCCAGGCAAATGCTCTACCATTCAGCCACATCCCCAGCCCTTAGCAAAAGGATTGAAAATGGTCTTAAGGAGTTTTTGTACATGTTGTGTCCATGAGTTTTATTCACAATAGCCAGAGGATAGGATCAACCCACTTATCCATTAATAGATGGATGGATAAACAAAATGCATATACACAGAAAGGAAATTTTAGTGTATGATACAATGTGAGTGGACCATGAGGATATTTTGCTAAGTGATATAAGCCAGTCATGAAAAAATAAATTCAGTATGATTCCACTTATATGAGGTACGTAGATTACTCAAATTCACAGAAACTGAGTAGAATGGTGGTTGCCAGGGTGGAGGGGTGGGGAATGGGCAATGGTTCCATAGACACATACTTTCCATTTATCAAAATGAAGGAAATTCTGGATATTGGTTGCACAAAAGTTTGAATGTGTCTAGCACGAATAACTGTACACTTAAATGATTAAGATGGTAAATTTTATCTTATGTTTATTCGACTACAATTTTTAAAAAGTGTATTTGTGTCCATGAGAGAGACCAAGAGGGAGACAAAATATTCCCATTAAGACAATAGAGTAGAGGTTGCAATTTCTGATGGAGGGAATGTGATTTTATTCTTGTAAAAACTTTCCTGTACTTTTCCATATCTGAGTAAACAGTGTTTTTTAATAAGTGAAAGAATAAAGGGGTTTTTCAAGTGTGTATCACTTGTCTAGCCCTAAGAAGCATAGATATAATCAAATGGCTGAGAGTTTTATAACTGGGAGGAAAATCCAAATTGTGTTTAGTTTTGGAAGCTGGGGTGGAGGGAGGAATGTGAGATGGATCTTATGATGGGTGAAATCTGGAAGCCACTCATGCTAGTTCCTGCTTTGTCCCCATAGGTCCTACTTGAGCCAGCCACTGGTGCTAGAGCTTATTCACCAGATGACCTTTCAGAAGGATGGTGTCTTGCAGGTACATTCTAAGATTGAACTGTAATTTTTTTTTTTTTGTAACAGGGACTGAACCCAGCAGCACTTAACCACTAAGCTGCATCACCAGCCCTTTTTATCTTTTATTTTGAAACAGGATCTTGCTAAGTTGTTTAGGTATTTATTGATCCTTTGCCACATCCAGGGTTATGAGGATTTTACCCCCAGGTTTTCTGCTTGTTTAGTTTAGTAGGCTTTGCTCTTACATTTAGGTATTTTATTCACTTTGAGATAATTACCGTATGTAGTGCCAGGTAAGGATTCAACTTCTTCCTCTTGTATGTGGCTATTCCAGATGCAGTTGTCCCAGCACAATTTTTTTTTTTTTTTTTAAAGACTGTTCTTTCCCATTGAACGGTCTTGGCATCCTTGTTGAATATCAGTTCAATGTGAATGTGTGAGTTTATTCTTGGATTCTCAGTTCTTTTCCAGTTGTTTGTGTCTATCCTTTTGCCAGTACCAACTTGTAGTGTGTTTTAAAATCAAAGTGTGATTCTTCCTACTCTGCTTTCCTTTTCCAGGATTATTTTGGCTATACTGGGTTCCTTGAGATTCCATATGAACTTTGGAATCACCTTCACAATCTCTATAAAGAAGTCAGCTGACTTTCTATAGGGATTGAGCTGAGTCTGTAGCCCAGTTTGGAGAGTATTGTCATCTTAACATTGTTGTTAAGTCTTTCAATCCATGAACATGGTATGTTTTCCCATTTATTTTAGATCTTCTTTAATTTCTCAGCAATTTTTTTTTAAATTTTTTAGACAATAAACTTTGCATTTATTTTATTAAATTTATTCCTAACTACTTAATACTTGTTGATACTATTGTGAATGGAATTTTTCTTAGTCTTATTTTGGGATTGGCCATATTGTGAGCATACAACAATACAGTTGATTTTTTGTGTATTGATCTAGTGTTTTATAACCTTGCTGAACTTACATATGTGTAAGGTTATTTCCATCCATTCCTTAGGGTTTTCTGCCTATAAGATGGTGTCATTAGTAAACACGGCTTTTATTTCCTTTTCAATCTGGGTGACATTTATTTCTTCTTCTTGCCTAATTGCCCTGATGAGAACCACTAGCACAGTGTTGAATAATCAAGTGGCAAGAACAGATAGCTTTGGGGTGTGGCTGCCTTCCCAACTGGTTTGCTAGCTGAAGTCTAAGGGCCTGGCTTTTTGAAACCTCTTCCCTGCCTTTGTTTTTGTGTATTGCTGCTTGAAAGGTCTTCTGCATTTCCCTCCCTTCCTGGGGATCTGATGCACGCCTATCAGTCTCCAGGGTCTTGTGGTTAGCCACCCACACCGCCAGGCTCTGCTGGTTCCTGGACTTTGGTAACCGAGCAGCCGGGTGCTTGTCCGGGGCAGTTTTATTCCATCGACTGAAGATTCTCCTCTCTGGCCCCGACTGGCATCTTCCTCCCGGTTACCGATCTCCTGTCAAGGTCACGGTCTTCCCTTTCACCCGTTGGCACTGCCTGAACTCTGAGTCTGCTGTCATCAACCTCCTTTTGCTCAGATTCTTTCTGCTCATCTTCATCCTTTGTTGCCGCCTTGGCAGTGATCGCTGAGCCGCTGTCCTATAGTCGCAGGGCAGCCACGCTCCTTGTCGTGGAGGTGTGCAGGAGGTGTGACCGCCTGGCTCCTGTGGCGGTGGCCACAGCCTCCTCAGCCCCCTCAGCCCCAGTGTGTGGGACGGCGGCTGCCCTGCATGCTGCCTAAGGATCCAGGCGGTAGCAGAAGCCGGCCAAGCACTCGCTGGGTTGTCCACCTCTTCCTTGAGTTGGTTTCAGTAGTTTGTTTTTCTAACAAATTGTCCCAAAGTTACCCAATTTGGGATGTACCGGGGTTTACAGCATACTCAGTACTTTTTTCAGATTCTCATATTTTCAGTCTCCTCCCTTTAGTGCTCTAGTCAACTGTGTTCAGAGAACCAGCTTTTGGTCACCATTAATTTCTTTCTTCCCTTACTGGCTGGTGGGCTGGGGATCGAACTAGGGCCACACACCTGTTAGGCAGGCGCTCTGCTGCTGAGCTGCATCCCAGCCCTGGTCTGATTGATGTTCTCCATTGTTTTTCTCATCTCTATTTAGTGCATTTCTGCTCTATCTGTATTATTTCCCTGCCTTCTCACTTTCTTCACCTTTATTGTGCTTCCTTTTTCAGTATCTTAAAGTAGAATACTAGGTGATCCCTGTGATGTGACCAAAACAAACAAAACCCTAGATTTTGAAGGCTTGGTATTTAAACTATCTCACTATTACATACTGATTATAATTCATTGGACTTTATACTTTTTACTGTGGATACTCTGAGTCAGGATTTCTTGTGTGCTTTGTATTGGGCTTCTGTGGGGTGCTGGGCTAAGTTGTATAGTAGGTACAGAAAGGATGAGCTGAGCCAGATCAGGTAGAGTGGCTGTCCCTGTTTAGAGTCTCATGTTGGAGAGAGAATTCCTCTCACCACTGCCAGCTGCAGTGAAATTCATTCACGGGCTTTTCTCTCCAGGCTATTACCGGACTGAGACTGGGGCTTGCGAGATGTGCCAGGAGGGTGTGGATTACACCAACCATTCCAACAACCTCTCTTCCTGCATCCCCTGCAGCGTCTGTAGAAATGGTACACAGCAAGCGGGCCCAGGGAGGGTGGTGGGCTGGGACTCGGATTCCACGTGGACTCAGAAACCTCAATTCCAGCCCAACTCGGTCTTCTTTCTGCCCTGCCCCATGATCATCTTTGATTCAATGAAACACAATTTTTTAAAAATGGAAATTTGACATGTAATGCATGCCGCTTTAGAAGGTAGTCATTTAAAACAGCAATAGGGAGGAGTAGGAGATTAATCTGCCCCCTGTGGAGGGGCTCCTTCACCCCCTCCGAAGCATTTTGGAGCAGTTGCTACTGCTGACACTGTCCCTTGATTTGTAAACTTGGCAAACACTTGCTGAACGTCTGCCCTGGGACAGGACAGGTACAGAGTGCACTGGGGCTGGCTATGAGAGGACATTTCCCTGGAGGTGTCCTAAGAGGACTGAGCAGGTGACTCCAGCTACAATAGAGATAAGGACACTGGACTCCATAGACGAGGGCACATTTGAAAAGGATGTTGAAGGACAGATTCAAGGATTCCAAGTGGTAGATGGAGAACATCTCTCCATCCAGAGGTCCAGAACTGAAGGTTAGAGAACCTCATGCATTCAGGAGAAACGCCTGATTCAGTTCTGGGTCTGCTCCAAGTCTCCTGTCCTCTGCTCGGGATTTGGGGGTCCACTGACAGATTTCAAGCCACCACCTGCTTTGTTTTTGACCAAGATCCTTCTGAACATACAGGGAAGGGCAGAGGAGGAATGGAAGTCAGAGATGCAGGGCAGAGTGGAGTGGAAAGAAGGGAGTCTCTCTGAGCCTCCCCTCTGCCCTGTAGTCAGCCTCCGGCTGTGAGGGATCATGCTATGTTCTGTCCCCACCCTCAGGCTCCTCCGTCACTTCTTCTCAGTGTGGATTACTTTCTCTTCCCATGAGTTAGACCCTTCCTGACCTCAGGCCTCTCATTCGGTAACCTTCCACATAAACTCCAACACACATTCTGGTCTCCATTTCTTGGATCTCCTGAAACGTTTAGGTCTGTAGCCCAAGAAAATAAGTGACTGATGGAAAAGGCTGGATTTTATCCTGGTCCTGAGCCAGGTTCTCCATCCTGTGCTCTGACTTCCTGGCAGGGGCACGATGCTCCAGCCTCCACATCCCAAGGCCCTTCCTTGCACCTGACCTTGGGATCTAAAATTTGATGCATTAAATAATAAACTGTATTCTTCTATGTGACTCCAAATACAGGTGACAGCATCTTTATGCCTGGTACTCTGTTGCTGCAGGACCGGGCTGACTGGGGGTGGGGGGTGTTCATGTGGAGAAGGACGGAGGAGTACCCCGGGAAATTCATCCCCAAAGCTCTTCCTTCATTTCCAGATAAAGAAAAGAAGAGTCCGTGCACCACCACCAGAGATGCAGAGTGCCAATGTAAACCAGGCACCTTCCAGGATCAAAACTCCCCTGAGTTCTGCCGAACGTGCTCGGACCGGTGAGATACTGGAGCTGGGAGCTCCCAGCAGCTCAAGGGAAGCCGTAGAAGACCTGACTATTTTAGTACCCCTTTCTCTTCCGGCCCTGCGGAGCCCCACAACCCCTCAGGTGTCCCTTGGGAGTTTCCTGAGCTTTCAGTGTCCCTTTCTGGTCCTTCTGCACATCCTCCCACCTGCGCTCGCAGTGGTCCCTTCCCACCCATCCTTTTCTCCCAGGACTTGTTCACTGGCCACAGGAGGCCATGACTTAGGTCCCATGGTCCTTTTGAGGGCCCCAGGATATGCTTGAATTCTTTTTGGAAACAGAAGAATGGGTAGAATTCAGCCAGGCTTCTGTTCATTTATATCCCAAGTCAGTAACAAAAATGTCATTTTCAATCAATTTTTGTGCAGCAGAAGCCCATGAAGGCGAAAGCTCCCACAGCCCAGAAGAGGCATGTTAAGGTGGTGTGTGTGGCGCCCTCGAGGCTCCCAAGAAGGCCCAAGCCACTTCTGCCAGCCTCACCCCAGACTCCTGGCCCCTCAATAACACATCTTGTTCCTATTTGGGGCTCTCTGAGCCGATAGTTAATTTACTCTTCTCTCATGCTGGGTGTTTGCTATGCTTGGTAAGAAGGTCAGACAGGAAGGTCCGAGGAAGCTTAGTTGTGTTAAAGGTTAGCAGGAGGCTAGGCTCAGCTGTGGCTGCCTGGGCTCCTGCCATTGCCCCAGAGTGAGATCCCACCTTGCTCAGTAGCCAGGCCACGCAGCAGCACCCAGCAGAGAAGGCCCCTAAGGCTGCACCTCCACTCAGAGCTGGGATTCTGAGGGATGGAAAGGTTTGTGCTCAGGTCCTTTCCCAGACTTAGGGGAGAGTTAGGGTTTGGGGGTCCCTGGAGATACAAGGAGCCTGTCCTTTCTTTAACACCTTCTCAGGGACATTAGGCAGAGAGGGTGGCTCCCTCCTTCATGCTGTCTGGCCAGCCTTCCCTCACATCTTCCTGTTGTTTCCTGTCTCTGCACCCAGCTGCCACGGTGAGATGGTGGAGGAGAGTCCCTGTGTCCCCTGGAGTGACCGCAAATGTGTCCACAAAGAATCAGGTACCAAGGCCATCAGGGAAACCCTGGCTTCTGCAGAGCCAGTGACAGCCCACGTCAGCATTACTGCCTCTGTCCATCCCTCCTCAGACCGTAGAGTCGGATATATGGTGCTGGGCCTGGGCCTGTTTCTGGCTATGGTTGCTGTAATTTTTCTGCTTTGGATTACGTGGAGGTTTTCAAGGAGGAAGAAGATATTCAAATGTATAAAGAACATCTTTCCAAGTAAGTGTTGGCTGGGGGTGGGCATGCGAGCACCCTGCCCCCCATCCTGCTCCGTTCCCACACACAGAAATGCCCTCCCCAAATCCCAAAGCCGCTTATCCTCCCAGCCTGGCTGTTTGTTCCCTGTGGTGACCCTGTCATCTCCCATCTCATGGCACCTCATGATCACCAGGATCCCACGAGTCCCAGTCTAGGACTGTCACCTCATCTCAGCCTGGTCCAGCTGGCAGTGCCCACCAGGCAGAAGTGTGATCTCTTTGACTAGGAACAAGTTAGGGTGACAAGTGGTCAGGGGCTAGACAGCTGTGGGCAGGGCAGAGCCAGGCAGACTGTGAACATGTCTCCCCATTTCTCCCCTGTGCTGTGTCTAGGTCCCCAGCCCAGACCGCCCAGCACTGCCCTCAGGGAGGTGGGTGAGGCCCCTGCCCATGTGCTAAGAGGATCCCTTTCTCTTCCAGGCTGTGGACAAGACTCTCAGCACGTGGACACAGTGAGTGGTCTCCCCTGTGCTTGGAGTCACTGAGCAGCACAGCCTGGGAAGGGCCATCCCTGTTTATCCTGTGATGCTGCCCTTGCTCTCTAAAGTGGCCTGGAACTCTGGGCCAACTGTCAGGGGCAAACGGCCATTGTGAGCTCCCTCTAGGCCCGTGGACCATACTGCTACCCTGTCCTTCCTGCTGCTTGGGAGACACCCTCTCCCATGACCTTGCCCCTGGGGGTGGGGTCACTTAGGACTTTGTCATTCTCCTTGGCACAACCCTAGGACCTTGGTGCCAGCAACAGATCGTGGATGTCTGAGCCTGTGCCCACCTGGAGTGACCCCACTGAGAGGGGGTGAGGACCTGGTAGGGAGTCCTAGGTGTGGGCTCCTGAGTGGTCTTTGTCTTCCCAAGGTCTCTATCCCAAGAAAGCTTGAAGCTCAGGACAATGACCACAATGAGATCCTAGCCAGCACGAACTCACCATCCACCGTGGACTCTGAGCAGCAAAGGAATGGACAACAGCTGGTGACACGTGTCACTGAAGAGTTCCCAGAGGAGGAAACAAGTCTGCTGGTGAGTGGGGACAGGCTGTGCCAGGCTGTAGACGGGGAGAGTGGGTGTCATCCTGAGGGGAAGTGGAGACTGAGGGAGGAAAGGGACTGTCTAGGTGAGGCTGCACCTGGTTCACGAGGTGACTGAGCCACTCTGGAACACTCTGCTTCATCTGGATCTCTGTCATGCTCAGGCTGCATCCCCAGAGCCTGGAGCCTACAGGCACAGATTGGGCACTGTGGTGTGGGTTGAGGATCGAACCAGGGCTGAGTACTTGTCACCAAGTACTTATTTTTTTAGTTGTAGATGGACAACTTTTTTATTTACTTATTTTTTATGTGGTGCTGAGGATCGAACCCAGGGCCCCATGCATGCAAGGCAAGTGCTGAGCTACAGCCCTAGCCCCCGTTTTGGTTATTTTTGATTCACCAACAGCGTTTTGTCCTAGGATCTTTGTAAGAAGATGTATTCCCCCGCCCGTACATTTTTTCCCATGTGGATAATAGAGTCCTAATTTCTTATCCTTTCATTTGGTGTGATATTTTCATGAATAGACGTTTTCATTTATAACTAGTGAGATTGCTAGATACATTAACTTTGTTTTTGCTCATCAGCTTAAGAAGTTTAGGGGATTAAACCCAGGGCCTTGTGCATGCAAGGCAAGCACTCTACCAACTGAGCTATATCCCCAGCCCCTTGCTCAACATAAGAAGAAACCCTCCCATTTCCTGGGAAGAAATATTTTTTTCAAGGATTTCCTTTTTGTACATTACAGTATAATCCAAGTGGAGTTTCTCTTGCAGTACCATAAGAAGTGTGGTGCTGCTCAATTGCTCTAAGTCACTATCTAACTCTTCTGGCCCCAGTTAAATCCTGAGTCTCCCACATCCCTCTGCTCTTGGTACCCCTTGAATCACAACTCAAATGTTGATATTGACAGTGATGTCCTTTCTCCCAGGCTATTCCTGTTTCATTCTTGCATCAATACCCAGTTTCCCTTTAACAATGAGAAAGTAATAAATAAAAATATTCATTAAAAAGATCAATAATTGACCAGGCGACTATAATCCCAGCAGCTCAGGAGGCTGAGGCAGGAGCATCGCGAGTTCAAAGCCAACCTCAGCAATGGTGAGGCGCTAAGCAACTCAGTGAGACCCTCTCTCTAATAAAATACAAAATTGGGCTGGGGCTATGGCTCAGTGGTCGAGTGCCCCTGAGTTCAGTCCCCCATACCAAAACAAAAGAAAACAAAACAACTTAAAAAGGTCAATAATCCCTCCAACTTGATTAAATACCTTGATATTTTTAGAAAGATATAAATATATATTCAAAGTGAGAAAACTTAAACGGTATAGAAAGGGTCTCAACAAATAAGAGCTTCTTTCATTTCCCCCAGGTCCCAAGATAACTATGAGAGATAATTCCTTGTGATTCTTTCTCCAAGTCTTTATGCATAAGTTTATGGACATTTATTGAAAGGTCACATATTATATGCAATATTCTTTAACACATTGAAATTTTTTGTTTTAATAATAAACAAAATAACTTTTTCTTCATTTTTTAAAACTTAAAATTTGTCCCAGATACAATTTAGAATTCATTCATAAGATCTTCTCTATATCAAAATAATTGATTTTTTTTTCCTGATGCTGAGGATGGAACTCTGGGCCTCACTCATGCTAGACAAAGGCTTTTAACCACTGAACTGCATCCTCAGCCCCTAATTGGAATTTCTATTCCAGTTTACCTTAAATATGAAAATTTAATCTAGGACGAATTGAAATTTTGTCAGTATTCAATATTTTTCTTATCGCAGAAGTCAGCATTTCAAGACAAGTGTTTTTCTTCCAGCTAAATTAAGATCTGTCTTTTTCTACAAATAAATCATTTCTATTTCTTGACAGTGCTGCTTTCTTCGTACTTAAGTGTTTTATAAACTTTATAAATTGGGTCTTTTCGTGGCGTTTTCTAATGTATTGTTTCAGTACATTTTTAGCCATTCATTCTGACTTCTGTTGCTCTTTCAATCCTTTTTAAACTTTAGGGTTTTTTACATATTCAAACATATATAAACAGTGATTCATTTTCCTGCTCCATTCCAAGACTCCTGCTCTGCGTTAATGTCTTCCCGCCTGCTGTGGAGCCAGAACTGTTGAGCACAGTGGGCAGCAATGCTGGGAAGGGCGAGGGAGCTTGCCTAGAAGCCCTGGGTTCTATCCCCAGCACAATTACAAAGAAGAGTGAGGAAAATAGGTCAGGGGGGAGGAAGGGAGGAAAACTGCTTAGCAAAGCACCTGTTGCATCTCAAGTGCCACCCCTGTGAATGACATTGGCTCATTTCATAGAGAAATGCATCTTTGGATTCCAAGCTGTTTTAAAACCTCAGAACTGGAGTTCAGTCTTACCAAGTGCCTGCCAGCCTTTGTGGTGATTGTGTCATGCTTTCATTTCCTTCTTTTGACTATTGATATGAGACATTGTTATTGATCAGAACACCTTCACATTCTTGAAACCAGCCATGACTTTGGATGGCAGCGCCTTCATATACAGGCTTCTACTGAGTCTCATAAAAATTCTGTAAGAGTCACGTGTGGTGGGGCTCACCTGTCATTCCAACCACTCGGAAGGCTGAGACAGGAGGATCACAAGTTTGAGGCCAACCTGGGCAGTGAGACCCTGTCTCAAAGTAAAAACTAAAAAGAGCTGAGAACATAGTGCATTGGTAGAATGACCCTGGGTTCAATCCTCAGTACCAAAAGAAAAGAAAAGAAAAATTTTCAGAAAGGGCTGGGGATGTGGCTCAAGTGGTAGTGCGCTCACCTGGCATGCGTGCGGCCCGGGTTCGATCTTCAGCACCACATGCAAACAAAGATGTTGTGTCTGCCGAAAACTAAAAAATAAATATTAAAAAATTCTCTCATTCTCTTTAAAAAAAAAAAAGGCTGGGGATGCTTAAGACACTGGATTCAGTCCCCAGTACTGCAAAAATAAGAGAATAAAAGGCCTCTGAGAAGGCCGCTTCCTCCTGCTGGGGTGGGAGGGAATCGACCAGAAGAGGAAGCTCTGGGTGGGGGAGCGAGCATTCCCTCTTGGTGGAGTGATGCTTGGAATGGAACACTTCAGGTGAGCATGCACACAGCCTGTGCGCGGCTCCAGGTGGCAAGTTTATTGCCAATCTCCACAGAGACCTGGAAGGGATAAGGGAGGTGGCCCAGATATCTCCAGGCTGGCTGGTTGTCAGAGGTCCCTGACTCTGACAGGGCATCTCCCCTTTGTTCCAGAGACCTGCAGAAACAGAGAGGTCTCCGATGAAAAGGAGGCCACTGGTTCCAGTAGAGGGAACTGATACCATTGAGAGTAAGTATTTCATGTGAGATGATGAACAGGCGCCCGGGGAACGGGAACAGGGTTTTAACTGCTGTCCCTGTGGCTGGTAGGGCTTCCCCAGGGCTGTTGATGCTGGATGCAGGGGGTCCTATGCTGTTGTCACTGGGCTTTAGGAACCACCAATCCCCTTCTCGCTCTGCTTCTCCCATGGGGGCCCACCTGGTCCCTCCCCCATCATTTGCATCGTTCTATACCCGCCCACCATCCTCCCTCCTTGCTTGTAGTTCATCATCCCCCAGGTCCTCCTGAAGGCTTTTGCACACCTGACCTGTGGCCAGGCCCTGTTTGATGGGCCGTAGTGTAAACTACAATCTGGATTTCAAAGACTGAATGTCGATTATATGATGGAATAAGATTTTATAAATATCGAATCAAGTACAATGTCTTGTCAAAATGAATTTCATTTATTTCCTTTTACTTCTTAAAAGAGGCTATTAGAAAACATCAGCTCCTGTCCCTTCCGTTTCTCAGGCCGTGCTGGGCCATGCATTTCACACAAGTCTCGTTTAATCCTTCACATTCCGTGAGCTGGATGCAGCTGATTGGTTTACAGGTTCACGTGTTCCTTTAGTCTTTTTGCCTCCATCCAGCATTGCCCAGTGGCAGTGTGGGAGTCAGGCAGAAGCCCTGCACCGCTAGGCCCTGCTCCTTCCATAGAGGCAGATGTGGCCACTCTGGCCCATATCACACATCACTTTCCTACTGCATAATAACTGTGCACCCACTTAGAGCAGTATTCTCTGCTCTCCCCCAGTGTGTTGGGTGCAGTGGGGCCCAGGCAGTGTTCATGGAAGCAGGTAGGGATGTTGGAACAACAGGTTCCTAGGCTTAGAGAGCTCATTAGTTTCCACATTTGAGTTCTAGACCTGATTTAGGATCCTCTGCCCTTGGTGAACTGCTTCTAACGCACGTGTCCTCCATGTTTCTCCTATCTAGCCATTCGGCAGTTCTTCAGTTGCCATCAGAACGTTGTACCCTATAAATCCTGGTATAAACTCATGCGGGTGCTGGGCCTTACAGATAATGAAATTCTTGTGATCAAAGATGGAATACAGAACCCGGAAGATTGCTTGTATGAGATGATGGTAAAATGGATCAACAAAATGGGGCACAGTGCCTCCATCAACACCGTGCTGGATGCCTTGGAAACAATTGGCGAGAGAAATGCAAGGGAGAAAATCGAGGACTACATGGTGAATTCCGGAAAATTTATCTATCAGGAAGATGGAGCAGATCCTGCAAGGTCGCTTCTTTAGAAAGGCAAATGTTCCCTCCTTTGTCTTTTCTCCCCTCAAAAAAAAAGCCACTTGAACACAAGAAAGTAGGAAATAATCAAACTTCCACATGACAAGATCTGGAGCGCTTTCTTAATTCTTGTGCATTTGAAGAATGAAACCCTTGGACCAAGATGACTGTGTGTAACAGAAAGATGTATTGAAGCACAGGAAGGGACCTCCTGCAGTACAAGAGGGGCCCTAATAGTAGGCTTTCTCCTGCTGAGTGTGCTAGTCTATGGGTTTATATAGCACTTGGTTTGCTGCTATAGGACTTGAAAACTACTAAAGCCATTGCTAATTCTTGAGTTCCAACTTTCTTTCAAGTCTGCCCCACTTCCAGCCTAGTGTGGGGCTGCAGCAGGTGTCTGTACTGTGCCCAGGCCTGGCCTCTGAAGGATGACAGGTCGGTGTGCCTTGGCTTGCCTGGGTACTGGCTTTCTGTCCTGCCTATGGGGGCCACTCCATGGGCCGCAGGCAGCGCTTGCCAACCGCACTCGGACACACTTGGCTGCTCCACATCTGCTCCTCGGCTGGGACCAGTAGGCTGGCTGCATATAGCTTGGCAGCTGGGGGAAAGCCGTACCATTAAGACGTACGGCTCTTTTTTTTTTTTTAAGTGGCACTTTTTTATTCTAATACATCTTAATTTTTCCTTGTAACTATGTTTACGTGTTTACATTAACTTGTTTCTGTCATTATTTATGTGTTTTTGTAATTTGGTATGTTATAATGTAAGTGTTTGACAAGAATTCTTCTTCCTAATATGCACTTTGATTTAATGACTCTTCAGTGTTTAACCCAGTCTTTTAAACTTATAAACTTATTTATTTTCTGTTGGTGTTGGGGATCACTCAGGGCCTTGCACATGCTAGTCAAGAGCTCTACCACTGATCATCTCCAAACTTTAAATATGACACTTCTGTAAGTGTGTGAATAGCTCTTTTATTTACAGAAGATGTAGCAAGATCTTGGGGAGAACTATATTCTTCTGAAATCCTGACCTGGGCAGGGACCTTTGTTCCCTCCTCTATTGTTGGAAAGTGGGGTGGGAGATGGGTTAGATCAGAGGTGGTTCATGTTATTGAACTCTTGAGACCTCTCTGAACCTGGGGAAGAGGAGAGGGAACCTGTCCTTGATGTCTGCCTTGGTCTCAGAAAAGAACAATAGGCAGCACTCATGAATGTGAAATATTTGCTTACTAGACTACATGGTACCTCTTACTTGTGAATCTGAGCCCCAGAGCTGCATTTTGGGGTACAGAGTTGTACTTGAGAACCCAAGCCCTCTATATGCACAGAGGGCTTCTGGATATGACATTCAACTCAGAAACACAGATTCTTAAATTCTGATATAGAAAGACCTAAAATGGCTTTGGGCATTTTGTCCTGGCTTTCTCCTCTATATTTAATTCCTCATTAACTATTGGAGACTACCTTCCAGCAAAACCTTCTCCAGAGCATTCCAGTCACAGAAGGACAAATTCATGGAGATGGTAGTTCTCATCTCAAGGCATTGAATGTTTTCCCATTTCAGGGCTTGTATGACTCGCCAAAGCTAGAGGCACATTAAGGATGTGGCCTCTGCAGGAGGATTGCAAGTCCAAAGCCAGCCTCAGCCAAAGGGAGGTGCTAAGCACCTCAGTGAGACCCTGTCTAAATAAAATACAAAATAGGGCTGGGGCTGTGGCTCAGTTGTCGAGTGCCCCTGAGTTCAATCCCGGGTACCCTCACCCCAAAAAAGGGATAAGATGTGGCCTCTGAGTCCTCAAAGAACTAGAAATGGAACCACCATTTGACCCAGTTATCTGACTCCTTGGTTTATACCCAAAGGACTTAAATCAGTGTACTACAGTGACATGGCCACATCAGTGTTTATAAGTAGCTCAATTCACAATAGCTAAGCTATGGAACCAACCTAGCTGCCCTTCAACAGATGAATGGCTAAAGAAAGTGTACATATGTATATATACACAATGGAATACTACTCAGCCACAAAAGAACAAAATTATGGCATTTGCCAGTAAATGGATGGAACTGGAGACTACCATGTTAAGTGAAATAATCCAATCCCCCAAAACCAAAGGCCAAATGTTATGCAGATAGTAACTCACAATAAGCAGCTCTGCGGTTGTGGTGGGAAATACGAGTTCACTGGATTAGACGGGAATAAAGGGGAGGGAGTAGGAAAGACAGCTGAATGAGACACAACTTTCCTACATTCAAATACGGACACACAACCAGTGTAACCCACATCATGTACGACCACAAGCATGGGAAGTCATACTCCATGTGTGTATAATATGTATAACTAAAAAGAAGAAATAAAAAATATTTTTAAAGAATGTGGCCTCTGTGCATCTTTAGGAGAGGGGACCCTTTCATCTTCCCATACCCTTCCCCTCCTTCCAGGTCCCCCAAGCTGCTCCTGGCTGCTTTCTGGACGTTAGCCTTTGCTGCTGCTTTGGTGGACATTTGTCCTCCTGAGAGGAAGCCAGTAAGGCTTAGCTCCCGGCACCTTTCTCAGAGGACTTCCTTGGGTCCCACCGCAGGAGGTTAGCCTCATCAGTGTTGAGCCTGCTTATTGTTGCAATGTAAGCGGCTTGTGCAGGAGACACGAGCTCCTCCCGCGGCTGGTTGTGTGGTGTACACCAAGTTCAAATGCAGGCAGGCTCTTGAGCAAGTGCTTCCTGGGAAGCGAGGGGTTGAAAACAAGGGTGATATGGAACGACACAGGAAGGCCGTCAGGTACAAAATACTCATGTATTTATGAATTCATGACCAAATTAAATATGAAACCTTATATAAAAAGAGGTGTGGTTTTTGTTTTTTGCCCCCATCCTCTCCATCTCTGAACCAGCTCTGAGGGACCTGAGTCTGGGGAAATGTCTGGCCCCCCATGTAACCCGTGTCCTCCTTTCTCCCCTTTATTCTCTGGGCTCACCCTGTCGGGGGAGGTGTTTTCTACTGCCTCCCTGGGATCCAGAGGGGCGGTTCCTGGGGGGCTGAAATTCAGCACCTCCTCCTTCCCCCCACCTGCCCTTCCCTCTGGGGACAGGGACATCTGCTCTGATCTGGCTCACCCACAGCCTCCCAAGGTGGTTTCTCTGGGCTGCAGGGCTCTGTGTGGGGCAGAGCGGCCCTAAGAGAGCTGAGGGTCAAGGGTGGCGGGTCCCTGAGGGGTGAGCTGGCCGTGGTTGCTGAGGGAGCTCTGTGGCCACTCTCCTGTGGGCTGCCCTCAACTCCTTCTCCACCTTCACTTTTCCCACTGGCCTTTCCTCTCTGGCTCTAGGTTCCTCAGCCCTGCAAGCACCTGGGAGACCCATTGCCCCTTCCTCTTTAGAACCGAGCTCTCCCTCTCACCTAGATCTCAGGACATGTGTCCCCATCTCTGTTCCCCTACCACAAGGATGCTGCCGAGGCTGCATAGGTCCTCTTCTGGATGCCCCCTTCCCCCACCTCAGCCTCACCCTTGAAGCTGCAGGCAGAGCTGGGGTGCAGGGAGGTTAGATAGCCAGCAGAGGGCAGCACATGACTGGCTTCCAGCCAGCTAACCAGGAGGACTGGAGGGAGGCAGTCACAATCTTGGAAGGTAAGGCTCAGACACCATGGGTTCACCCCACTTTAGACCTGCCCCTACCTGGGCCTCTCGACAAGGACTAACCTCAGAGCTCTAGGTCTTGGCACCACACAATCATTGCAGGATTGCCTTGGTTTCTGGGTTTGCTCTATCCCAGACCTAACTGCCCCACCCCAGGTCCCTGGGACCTAGCCAGTCCCTCTTCCTGAAGCATCTTTCTCAGGGGACGCCTTAGCTCTCAGCTCACTGCCTCCTGGCTCTGCAATTCCTCATCAGGATCCACCTCATAGCATGAAAAAGGGTGTAGGGGCCACAAGCTGTTTTAATCCCCAGTCTCATCCTTCCTTTCTAGATGAACCTTGCTTTTCCTTCTGTTCAATCCTCCCTTCATCCTAAACCAGCACTAGGTAGGGCTTTATGTCCCGTGACCCTTCATTACATGGGACTGTTGTTCTCCAACTGTGTCTTTTGTTGACATTGACCCTTGTCCTAAGTCCCCCAAACACATAATTCATAAGCATCCTGCGGGATCACCCTCAGAGGTGAGGGCAGTCTACATCCTCCAGATGGGCAAAGGCAGGGTCCAATACGGCCAAGTCCTGAGGCCAAAGCCCTCCCCTCAATCCTCACAACCTTAGTCACCAGCAAGCAGCAGCCCAGGAGCCGGGCTGCCCCGAGGGCTGTTGGGCAGGCCCAGGACATCCTCAGCCACAGCAGGCAAGGAGCCCTTCCCAAAAGGCATCTGAGTTGAAGGTATACTGAGCCTCCATCTCCTAGCCATGGGGCCTCTGTTTGGCTTTATAAAAATGTAAGCTATATAGGGTCTATTTCTCATTTCCATTCTTTGGGGAAATAGAGGATAGCGTTTTTTGGTTGGTGGTGAATTCCTTTTGAGTTGGTTCTTGTTTGTTTGGGTTTTTTTTTTTTTTTTTTTTTGCTAATTTTGCCCCAACCCCATAAAAAGCAGTACTACCCAGAGGCAGGGGAAGGGGCCCAGAGGAGCATGGGATTGCTGCACACAGACCCCACTCCTCCCTCCTCTCCCAATCCAGTTGTTTCCTTTGGGTTCCATCTGAGGAGTGCAGAAGGGGCACGGAAGGTTTCTCATTGCACCAAGAAGCACTGCCTCCAGGCCTGGAGCTCTGAGCTACCTCTGCCACCCACAAATCAGGCCTCATTGCCTGCAACCTGGGAGGGATGCAGAAGGCAAGCTTTTCCATGTGTGGCCTCTTGCAGCTGCAGCCCAGGATGTAGAAGCCTTGAGCTGAGCTCTGAAGGCTTAATTTCTACCCTGACTTCTCCAGTGAGGATCTGAGTAGGCTTCATGTGGAAATCCCACAAAACATTTGCAACCGTCTAGTCTGTTGGGAAGATGTGGCCCATGGAGCAGGACCCTGGCTGCTCTCTGGGAAGGGGGCTGCCTCCCCAGCCAGAGCAGAGACCCAGACACGCAGGCAAGCCCTTGTGCTGGAAGGCTTTCCCCTTGACTCTAGGGTTCTTGAACCCAGGGAGAAAATGCCAGAGCTCTTGGCTCTTCCCCTGCTTCCTGCCTCCCCGAAGGTGTCTCCTGTCTTGCCTTGGAACTGGGGACCCGCCAGCAGGGCCTGGCTCCTCTCTGGCTGAGCTATGTTGGCTGGTGAGAACAGCTCTGCCCTTAGGGTCCTGGTGAGGTGGGTCCCCTTGTCCCTGGTGGGTGGCGGGGGTGATGCAGAAGAGCAGAGGGACAAGGGCAAATGGGGACAACAGCAGCAGGGTCAGAAGAGGGTGGCAGCATCTCAGACCACAGCCGAGGATGACGATGGGGAGGATGAGTTGGCTGCAGAGGAGGACGGTGAGGAGGGACTGTTCCAGAACAGCCACCGCCGCTTGGGCTGCCGCTTCAGGTGCAGATAGTCCTCCTTCTCCCGCTCCTTCCGCGCCCTCTGATAGTGGTCCTCCTCCTTCAGGTACCACACCGGGGGCCACCGGTGCTTCTCGAAGTACTCTTGGTTTTCTAGAACAGAATGCATGGGGCTTGGTTAGGAGAACAGGGGCAAGAAGGTCCACCGTCCCTTGACCTGCCTCCAAGCCAGCACCAAGTACACCTTGACCTGTGGTCCAGGACCCCCTGGTCTCCTGCACAGAGCCACTGAAGGAGGTGAAAAGGGGAGATGTCACAGTCGGCCTGGGAAAGGCACTTCTGGATAACAAAGGGAGGAGCCCAATCAGCCCACAGTAAGTGGAAAATATCATCAGCCGGAAATGTTCTTGATCCCCCTTCCCTACAGAGCACGACGCTTAGCAGCCCTGGGCACCACAGGATGGTGGTCATTTCCCTTCCCAGTTGCAAGGCTGACTGGGAGCTGCAG